GGTTCTCTTTCTCAGTTTTAAATATTTTTTTATAAAATTTGGTATACCTACTAAGCAAATGATAGAGAACTCCGCTGTAGAGCCCGAATTCAGAAAAACTAATTTTTTAATTATTTCTATACAAATTATGAAAATTATTGCAAAAAGGAGTCTTTACCGGGAATTGTTATATAAAAATCAGCTAATTCTTTCCAATACACTTTTTTGTCCAAAGCGTATATTTTTTAAAAACCTTGAATTAGGAAATCTGAGAAAATCTGTCAAGATTCCAATCCATATTAATTGATTTGGCAACAAGGCGGCGGACGTTGGCGGTGCATGCAGTACCGGAAAATTGGGATAAAAATAAAATAATAAAAACTTTATTCTTTTTAGTTCAAGTGTAGGTGTTTTTGTTTCGTTTTTAGTCAATGTGTTTATATGAACTTTTATGTGTAAGCTGAGTTATAATAATTTGTGATAAAAATGGGAAAACTTTCGGAAATGCCGAAAATTATATTTCCGTTTCGACGGAAATCTATAAAATATCGTGCTAGATTACTTAGAAAAAGACAAACATTAGCACCCCTTCTAAGCATTAAAGTTAAAATATATGGGAAATTAATATACTAAGTATTGAATAAAAAAAAAAACCTTTAGCTTTAAAGCAATATTTACAAATTTAAAGCGGATATCCAATAAATGTGGTTTATTTGTGGATTCTGAATATGGTTTTTAGGTTCCGACGGTTTATTAGGAACAGACAGTATTATCGAAATTAAATATCCTGCCACTGCTTCAAAACTGACTCCGAAAAAAGCAATGGTTGACAACATAATAAAATTTGCAATTATTAATAATAATGCGAAAATGCAATAATTGTTCAGGGGCAACTTAACGTAACTAAACGAAATATTTTTTTTTTTATTTATTTTAATACCTTTAAATATGTTAGTAGAAAAAATAAAAAAGATGATAGATTTTGGTGTATATGGAAAACAAACTAAAGCAATTTTATTTAGATTGTATACTACCCGAGATCTTAGATCCACGTTTCACTAGAGGTTTAGATATTAGAAATTTGAGTAGAAATCCGAGTAGAAATCCGACCAATAGTCAATAAAAATGATTATTTTTATTCCTTCTTTTACTAATAATAAATCATTTTACTCAATGTTATTTTTAAATATTTTTAGTACTAGAAAACAATTTTTTCTACACCCAAATGGATAGCGTATCTACGTACAGACTACAAAACGAAAAAATATGCTATTGCGTAAAATGAGTTATACTTGTGTAGAATCGATAAATAATAGCATTTCTAGTTTTATTTGATCTATATTTAGAAATAAATAATTATAAATTTTAATTAAACTATATGAAATCAATTTAATTTATATTCACTCATGTTACACAAACTACTATTTTCTACATCCACATGGATATGCTTTTTTCTATACCCACATGAATATTAGCTAATCTACGCACATACTACAAAACAAAAAAGTATTCCATTGCGTTCAACTGAACGAATATATTTCATATTCATTCTACCTAGTAAGAACACTGCAAAACAGTTAAATCCACCAATCAGATTATATATTGGTCACCCGGCTACTATTATTTTTTAAATTTTATGTAGTTAAACTAACTGTCAGTATATTTTTGAATTATTGAGATTAAATATACGTAAAAATGAATATTTCTTATGTATAATCGATAAGTAATAGAATTTCTATTTTTATTTCGTCCAAATTTATAAACAAATCTTAAATTTTAATCAAACCATATAAAACTAATTTAATTACAAATATTAGAACTATAATGGCAAGTGTGGCGACGGCACGGAGTTTGTCTCCAAGCGAGAGACCCGAGTTCCAATCATGGCTGGGGACTAATTAAATTAAATCTTTTTGTATGTTTATTTTATTTTATAAATTATTAAAAGTCATACATTATTTTAAAATTATTTATTTTGTCTTAATAAATTACTTTTTTAAATTTGTAGAATTTCGTTAGGGTGTCGTAGAAAAAATATACTGTACAACTCGAGTGGATTGTCTGTATCGCACTCAGACGATTAAGCACTCCGTCTACGGCGTCGTTCTGAAACTTCGTCTTCGTGCGATATGGCCATCATATCCAATTTTGTTGCACAAACTACTATTCACGCACAGACTACAAAACGAAAAAATATACTATTGCGTTCAACTCAACGAATATATTTCATATCCATTCTGGGTAGTGAGAACACTGCAAAAAAATAAAATCCACCAATCACAGTTTATATATTGGACACCCAACAAATATTATTTTTAAAATTTTAAATAAGTGAAAATTCTGTCAAACTAATTGTCAGTATATTTTTTAGGAATTGAGATTAAATATACATTAAAATGAGTTATTTTTGCGTAGGATTCATAAATAATTTTAATTTTGACCACAATTTAAAAAATCTTAAATTTGAATTAAACTACCTATATGAAACTAATTTAATTACTACTTTTAGAACTAAAATTTTAAATGTGGAGGTGAAAATGATGATACGGCATCTGTTTTTCGAGCGAGAGGCCCGAGTTCAAATCTGGGCTGGGGACTAATTAAATGAAATATTTTTTCATGTTTATTTTATTTCACAAATTAGTAAAGTCATAAATTATTTTAAAATTAATTATTTTGTCTTTTCCTAAAATAATACTTTAAATTTGTAGATTTTCGTTAGTGGGTCGTAGAAAAAAACATACTGTACAACTCCAGTGGATTGTCCAATGTTGTTGCACAAACTAGTATCAAATGGGTTATTATTTAAAAAACGTATTTTTATACAGGGTATTTGTAAATAAGTACGAACAATTTTTGCAAATTGTTATCAAAGTTATTTTGTTAAAAAAAGTTCCTATAAAAGTAGGTCGAAATATGCTTCGTTTCCGAGATACAGAATGTTTAAATTTTAATTTATTAAATTTTATTAATTATTTTTAATAGTTTTAAAGATATTTACTCTAAATTTGCAAAAAAACTTTGAAGGGGCAAATGTGTATTTTTTGGGGTGTTCCAAATATTTCTACCAGTGGCGTTTGTGCGAGAATGCCACTTTTTTAATAAAAAAGTACTGCGCCACTGACTTTTTCGATCTATGTTTTTTTTATAAAATAACTTCGGCAAACATTCCCTCAAATCATTCACACTTACCAACAAACACCCTGTATATAAGAAAATGTAGAAATAGGTACATATGTATATTTAAAAATATATTTCGTAAATAAATAAATTAGTTATAAAAAAATTTTTTCGAAAATGTTACACCAGGTTATACCTTTAAAAAATATTTTAAACGAGAAAACAAAACAGAAATACTCTTTGTTAGACCGGACCTGCGATTTATCCGCATTTTTAATATTTTAAATCATCTATAGTTTATAAGTAATAAATTGAAGGGAGCGTAAGCCTGGGAATAGAGCAACGTTGCCAAAGTGGGTTCAGATGCACTGAAAGTTGTCAGTGTGTTCTAAATCTGAATTTGCTGTTAGGTGTTGCATGGATATCGCTCTTAATAATAATATTAAGAGGTGCATCATTGCAGTTATTGATTTTTCAACAGTTGTCGCGTTTTTTCCATAAATTTCGGACTTGGTCAATTTTAAAAATAATTTTCATCTCTCATCCTTGTAGGAAATTAAATTCCCCACAAAAAAGCTCTCTTAGTAAATTTTCGTAAGACGAGTCTATTCTTTGTAATCTTAATATTTAAGTTCATTTTGGAAATCCCAAATGCAAAGTGAAAAATTGAAAATATATACCAATGTTTAAGGCTTATTTACAAAGAATAGACTCATCTTAAGAAAATTTACTAAAAAAGCTTTTTGTGGGGAATTTAATTTCCTACAAGGATAAGAGATGAAAATTTTTTTTTAAAATTGACCAAGTCGGAAATTTATGAAAAAACGCGACAACTGTTGAAAAATCAATAACTGCAATGATGCACCTCTTAATATTATTATTAAGGGCTCAAACTTTCAGGAATTTTTTTTTGTCGTCATGAACAATATTTTCATAATTCCGCTAAGAAAAAAAATTGTTTTATTTTTTTGGCCCAGTTTAATGTTCGTGGTATCGAGGATATTTTTATTTCCATTGCTATATTCCAATTGTTCTTCATCTTTAGACCCTGCTGTGGAAGAAAGGATATCATTATCTACTTCGTTCTCGGAAAACACATACGAGTCGCCAGAGTTCTGGAACGGTTCCGAATCATCTGAAGATGACCAGTAATACTGTTTTTGATTTTGGGATGCCTTTCTCTTATTAGTAGATGATGTAGACGGGCCGGCAAGAGAAGTCACAGGAAACATCCTGAATATTTAGAGACGCCTCTCGGGGTTAATTTGGTTTAGGTTCTGGTATTGCTGATTCTGCTGGTGAGAAAATGTGATTGTTTCATTTTGTTCAGGGTGTATTTTTGTGTAATCTACCGATGAGGAAGTTTGTTTTGGGATGAATTTTGGACTAAACTAGGTTGAGAGGCAATTCCCGCGGAGTCTGCCCAAGAGAAAGCTTGATTAGATTCCCGAGCGGTTTGTGTTGGCGGCGCCGATGACGAAGCTTGATTGCTTTTAGGGGGACCTCTTGAAGATTGCAACAAATTTAAAATTTCCTTGGTTTTCGTCTTCATGTTTATTTATTTAGTAAACCTGTAACAAAAAAGCTAAAATGAAGTTTTTTTTTACTTTCTTCCTTGGAGTCCACCGGTGGTACACCGCGCTGCCACAAAATAAATATTACCTGGCGGCATTGTGTACCACCCGTGGTTTAATTGAAAAAAAGGTCATATTTATTTATAAAAACAAATGGCATATCCACACAAACAAAAAAAAATAAAAACTCACCTCCTAGAACTGCATATCAGTATCACCAGTCGTCGTGAACGTGTTAAATACGTGCAATGCAAAAAATTAGATGATCTGCTTTTTCTTCTTTTTGTACATGCTGCCTTATTTTTAATACTCGTTTTTAAATTACAGGGTGCTCATGAGAAAGTTATCAACGCACTAGCAGGGGCGTACTGGAAGGACCAGCATATACTTTTTAGCGGTGGTTGGGATAAAATTATCAAAAAATGGAAAATCGATAACGGCAAGCTGATATTAGATTCGTCGTGTGAAACTGACATAGTCATAAACGCTATAACTGCAGGAGAACAAGGGGACATATATGTCGGCGGCAGCGATGGACATATTATTCGTATTCGTGCTGACTAGAATATAACAGCGTAAGGTTCAATTAAAGGCTATAGATGAAAAACTCATATTCTCCTCGTTTAAAAATATCCCTGAAAAGTAAACAAGTTGTGTTCATTGTACACTTTGACACCGATTAAAAAAAATATTTAATTCGATAGCCACGTCGTGTCCTAAATGAAGTTATTAATAATTGTTTTCTAAGTAATTTTTATTCTGGATTCCAATATATAATCTAACTTGCGAGAATAAAAAGTCATAAAGTAATTTCGTCTGTGTACTTAATAAACAAAATCAAAGCTCGCTTGTAGTATCTAATTAAAAAACCAGCTGGCTCGTATTATTTTCTATCACATGGCGTTTTTATTTATTTTTGTATATCTCATTGGTATATGTTATTTCTGTGGACATTAGGCAAATAATCCGTAGGATAAGTGAGATTCCACGAAGCCTTAAAATAATATTTTGAGATATTAAATAAATTAGAAATGTTTTTAAATTTGTACACGACAGGTTAATGCTTTTTAATAAAATATGTATAATTTACTTAAAAATTGCACCAAAAAGCAATAAATGTGTAGAGATTTTTAAAACCAAATAAAAATTTTACAATCTAAACTAAAATGAATTAAGCTAGATCCTAGACAATTATTTACATATGATGTGCATAGTTCAATACAAGCAACAAGATGGCGCTACTATGAGTTTTGCATCTGTACCCCTCAATTCAATTTTAATTTTTGTTAAGAAAACAACAAAAAATGTATACCCAACTAATACTATAATGTAAAATTAAACAAAAAGACATAATTAATAATTGTTTTTTTTATATACCATTGCCCTTTAGGGTTCGCTTATTTCTATTGGTGATATATTAGTGGCAGTTAAATGTGCGAAAGTGAAACGTTCTGAAACCCATTATATAAACCTTTTTAAAAAGAGTTAAGAAATTATTGTTTCATATTCCTATAGAATCTAAGGTAAACCAACAGAAGAAAATCTACATCTACATCTAATTCGACCAGATTAGGGAGGTTTGATGCATCAAAAACCCATCCAAGACCAATTAAGGTAACCCTAAATAACGAAAACGAAGTTCGCTCGTGTATACGAAACGCGTATAAACTAAAAACTAAAAATACTTTCTCCCGCATCAACATCTCTATGGCCCGCACTCCTAAACAAATTGAACACTACATAAAACTGAAAAAAGAGATGGAAGAACGTGTAAACCTAGGCGAAACCAAATTAAAAATAAAATACTTTAAAGGCTCTCCAAAGATCTTTCTACAGGAAAACTAAACAACAGAAAATCGTGTAGCTGTTATCTACAAAATGTGAAAGGTTTAAATACAAAAATAAACCTTTACGCTCAGTGTCATTTTTAATCTAAATAATATCCACGTCTGTTTTTCCCGAGAAGTGGAAAATTTAAAAAACTATGTACAGAAAGGGCAACTGAAATGATATTACAAATTATAGATCAATCGCTATTACCTGCATTTTTAGTCAAGTATTCGAAATTACTGTTACCAAATTTTTCTACAGGCATATTAAAAACTCGATTTTGCCTGAACAACATGGATTTGTCCGTGGGAGATCTACCGTTACTAACGTAGATATTAAAACTCAATTTATCAGCAAAATATTGCACCGAGGTGGTCAGGTAGATGTGATCTACACTGACTTCACCAAAGCATTCGATAGCCTTAGTCATCCAATTTTGTTATCCAAGTTGAATATGTTGAATTTTTCTGACAATGTACTATCTCTCCTTCGTTCCTATTTAAGTAATCGTTCCCAGTATATCCTTATTAGTGGTGTTAAATCTCGCTTGATATCTCAAGTTTCCGGTATACCACAAGGTTCCATTTTAGGTCCTTAATGCTTCATAATCTTTATTAACGATATTTGTAATAATGTAAATGTACAATATTTACTCTACGCTAATGACCTGAAGCTTATTTCAAAGATTGATAACATACATGACTGTACGTTACTGCAATCCGATATAAACAAAATTCACAACTAGTGTATATTTAACAATCTTATGTTAAATCCTGCAAAATGCAACGTTATGTTATATACGGGAAATATTTATTGTATAAGATACGATTACAATATAAATGGAGTCGTCCTGTAGAGACCTGACACGATTTAAGACCTTGGCGTTGTATTCGATTCAAAATAATTAATCATCTCACGGTAACTGTCGCGTCGTGTTATAAAGTTCTAGGTTTCATCTTACGGTCTATCAAAGATTTTAATAATCCAGATATTTGTAAATTGTTAGGTCCAAGCTTGAATATGCCCTAGTAATATGGTCCCCTAATTATAGGCGCACGACTTAACTTTAGAAAAGGTTCAGCGACGTTTCATTAAGAATTTTCATTATAATTTTTATGGAATCTACCACAAAAGGGGATATCCACAAGACCAGCTTTTAGCAATGTTTGGAATTCAGAGCTTATTTCAATAATTTTCATTTACGAAATAGTACACCATTTTATTCAATGCCCTGCTCTTTTAGCTCAGCTTAATTTTTTTGTTCCTAGAATCAATTCTAGACATAGCTGCACATTCATTCTTCAGACTCCTAGAAAAATTTACTATGTCAGTCTCCATTGCATCGTATGCTCTCCACAGTTAATGACTTAAGTGGAGATTGATTTATTTTATACTAGCATTTTAAATATTAAATATCTCAATTCTTGATCCCTTCTATACCTTATAAAATAATTTATATATGTATATTTTCCTTTTTGTAGTGTTCTATTTCCATATATTTTATGTTCTAGCTTTGTTTCTAATGCGATGTGATTGTTGTATAGGTTTGTGGTAGAGACAAGACGTGTTTTATATCGCTGCGATATATCTCAATAAAACTGAAGTTACATGTGCATATTTTTAGTTTAAATTTGTATTGAAATAAGTAGAAAACTGAAGCGAAAAAGGTGAGCGGATTATTTTTTTATAAAATATCTAATTAGAAGTAGAAATTAGGTAAAACCATATACAAATCTCAAAATCTACGAAAATAAATAAATAAGCTTACTTCACTTATGGTTTAACTGATATCCTCAAATAGTACAGTCAATACAAATAAAAATAATGAGCGAAATTTCTAATAAAGATTTGCTCTCAAAGTTAGAAGCACTAATGAACGAAAATACAATTCAAATAAGAAAAGACATACAACTTTATAAATTTTAAATTTTACTGTCTAGCCTATTAAATTTTTTATCTGATTATCTATTAATTATCTACCATAAATTAGATTAGTAAATTCCACTATAAAATGTTATTTTTCAATTTTTTTTTTTTTTATATACAAATATATATTCCAAATATCTGATAATAAATAAATAAATGTAAATAATTTTTAATAGGTACCTATTTAGTTCTTAACAAAATTTGATTAAATAAATTAAAGCGATAAGGTATGTGCAGTGAATATGCCCATATTAAGCAGAATCCTTGATAAAAATTAGAAACGACAAACCTTTCAATTCGATTTTTTATAGAAAGCGTACCTTTAAACTCAAAGAAGTAATGTTTGGACAGAAATCGATGATTTTTTCTTTGAGATTTTTTTTATATCGTTTTTTTAAAAACGCGTCATACTGGGCGTATTACTAACCCTGTCGTTAATATGCCCATAGGGTGATTCTAATATGCCCATGTCATGTTCCTAATATACCCATTATTTTATTTTAACAAAAGCATACAACCTTCGTCGGTTAAGTATATTTTTTCGGAAAAACAATGCATAAGAATAACAAACTAATAAACAAACCCAAAATTAAAATATTTCTGAAAAACTAAACATTACTTTACACTGGTAAGTAGACAGTAAAATTTCTGACAATCTTAGCCACAGTCTGAACAAACAAAAACTGTCTTATCACCTTTGGTAAGCCCGACGCACTCTTTGTGAAAGTACGCAACATGCTATAGCTAAACTCACAAAGAATATCTATGAAAATATTGATTACAAAAAAGCATCGCTCTGCATTTTTGTAGACCTCGCTAAGGCGTTTGATACAGTAAGCCACTCAAAACTGATTGAAAACCTGGAAAATATAGGTTTTAGAGGGAGAAGCTAGGATTTATTATTCTCATATTTAACAGATAGAAAGCAAGCCGTGAAAATTGAAGATACAGTTAGTGAAACAAATAATGTGATGTATGGCGTTCCGCAAGGGACCGTACTAGGGCCATTTTTTTGATAAAATTACATATACCTAAATAACTTATTTTCTGTTAATTCCAATGGCACCCTTATCAGTTTTGCTGACGATACCGCCATTATTTATAAAAGCACTAACTGGGTATCTTTAAAACTATTAGTTGAAAGTGACTAACCTCATATATTTCATTGGTTTCAACAAAAACTTACTTACGGTAAATTTCACTAAGACATTCTTTATATTCCAATGCTTTACCAAACTACAACAAAATCGAAATTGAAGTCAACAATGTTGAAATAGAAATTAAAGCAGTTTCTAATATTAAATATTAAGGAGTCTATATTGACAATCATTTAAAATGGGATATTCATATCAACTTTGTGACTAAAAAATTGAAGATGCTATTGCATACATTTAAATTTTTCTCTCAAATATTAAAATGGAATGAGCTAAGAAAATTTTATTACGCTCTTACAACATTCTCGACTAACTATACATGCAATGATAGAAAATTACTTTATTAAAAAAAAAAAATCTGATGTGTCCAACACATGACTTTCCTATCTAGTTATTACAGGCTTTTTCCGGTTATTTTGTACAACCTATTGCAGTATCTCTATAAATGTTTAGAGGATAAACTAAATATATACATTGTCCACATACATCTACCGCGAAACATTTTTTTATAGATATTCATTGAAAATGAAAATACTGAAAAATTTAAATTTAGCACTTTTCCTACAATTTTTCCATTACGGTCCATTTTAAAAAAATCATGTATGAACAAATATAGAGATCGATATCGCAAACAACTTTTATTTCAACAATTTTCATAAAAATCAGAATTTTGCACATTTTGTCAAATTTTTCGAATACGGACCATTTCAGGAAATTTTTACATGAAGCAAAAATTATAGGTAATAATATAAGAAGTAACTTTTATTTAAACAATTTTTTTCTCCAAACATAAATAACAGATATATTCCATAAAATATAAAAACGGCCTCCCATAAAGTACCCCCCAGATGTTCCGACTTTGTCCAAAATCTAATCATTTCACGT